CTTAGACAACCTCTGAGGCCGTCACAGAGCAGCTGTATTTGTACTGACATTAGATTACACACAGGTGCACTCTATTTAGTCATTAGCACTCATCAGGCAATGTCTATGGGCAGCTGACTGCACTCAGACCAAAGGGGGCGGAATAATTACGCACACCCCACTTTGCAGCTATTTATTTGTAAAAAATGTTTGGAATCATCTATGATTTTTGTTCCACTTCTCACGTGTACACCACTTTGTGTTGGTCTTTCACGTGGAATTCCAATAAAATTGATTCATGTTTGTGGCTGTAATGTGACAAAATGTGGGAAAGTTCAAGGGGGCCGAATACTTTTGCAAGCTACTTTATCTGGGCTCTAATCTGAGGTGCTGTTAACTTGCAATTTCTGGGGGTGGTGACTCGGATGAATTTATCCTCTGCAGCAGAGATGATTCTTGATCTTCCTTTTCTGGGGGTGGTCCCCATGTGAGCCAGTTTCGTCTTAGCGCTTGATGGTTTTTACAACTCCACTTGGAGACACATTCAAATTTTTAGCAATTTTCCAGACTGACTGACCTTCAGCTCTTAAAGTAATGATGGACTGTCGTTTCTCTTTACTTAGCTGATTGGTTCTTGCCATAATATGAATTCTATCAGTTGTCAAATAGGGCTCTCAGCTGTGTACTAACCTGACTTCTGTACAACACAACTGATGTCAACAAAGCAAAGGGAGGCTACTTTGAGGAATCCAAAATATAAAACATATTTTGAGTTATTTATCAATTTTTTCTTTGCTACATAATTCCATATATCTTGCTTCATACATCTGATGTCTTCAGTATGTGTCTACAATGTATAAAGTAGTAAAAATAAAGAAAAAACATTAAATGAGAAGCTGTTTCTAAACTTTTTACTCTAATGTATATATAATCTAGTAACAGTAACCCACCTGCTGTTCAAACTTTTTGTTTGGTTGGCCGATGACAAGAAAGTTGGGTCGGAAGAAGGAAGAAAGAAGCTAAAACTGGTTCTGTAAGAAATTGGATGGACCGACTCATCCCAAAACTCCTTGATTAGAGTCCAAGAATAAAATTATGGAATTGGAAATTAGCAGTTAGTTCTCTTTATTATAAATGATGCTCAACAATTAGTAAAATACTCAACTCAAACTTCTGTTTTAATGTCTTGTTGCAGTCATAATATTTCCTTAATAACTTTGTACCTGCTGGTTTCTTTGTTTGGTTTGCTTTTTTTCTCAGCATTTTATCTGAGTGAGTCAGACTTTCCTGAGATGTTTTTGGTAATTAAGAAGTGCATTCAGCCGAATTGTTTTTCTTATTGCATTATTCTTTACTTAAAACGAATTAAGGTAAAATGTTTCCTCTTGCAGCCAGTCTTATCAGCCATTAACATTTTGGGTTTTCTAAACTCAAAGGTTCTAATCTGGCCACAACCTAAATGCCTATTTTATTATAAATGTAAAAATCAATCGTTTTTTCTGCATCTCCACTTTCTGTCTTAATGCAGATCCCCTTCTTTTAAAGTGATCTTCTGAGCTCCCATAAAGCTTCACCAACAGGTGTTTGATACCTCATTTTGGCAGCCTATTGACACACCTCTTAATTGCAGTCATTGCATATATTATTCACAAAGTTTCCTCAATTGGACAGCAGACGTTTTTTTCTGTGTTGCTATAATGCTCATGCTTCTGCTAAATTATCGAGTAATGTTGCTCCCATTAAGCAAAGGGGATTATTAAATAATTCAGCAGATGGTACCTGTGACTGGGAACACATTATGGAATTAACTACGGGTGATGTGTCATTGCTGCACCCTGTCCCTGTAAACCGCTGTGGGCTTTAACATGTTATTTCGGTAGAGGATGGCTCCCTCTTCTGGACTGTTTGAAAATGCACAGCACAGATTTAAAGTGGTTCTTAGACACATATGTGCTGCTTTATTTACATCAGGATCATTACAAATTAAAATAGCTTTAAAAAATACAGATTGCATGTAAACGTACAAATAAAAATGAGAAAGAGAATAAAAATAAATTTAAAAATTCCCACTTTCAGGTATTTTTGCTACAGGTCATTAAAGACTTTAAGAAAACACTTCTTATGATAACAAAATGATTAATTATTTCAGTTTTTTTTAAAAATCTGAGGCTAACTAAAAAACTAAAAAGGTCAAAACTAACAAAAACTTACAATACAGCTTTTTCTTTTTATTGTTAATTTTTAAATAAAAGGTTGTTTATATCCTTAAATTATTTATACCTAACATTTATTTTTGAAATAAAATGTGTAGTGAAGGGTTTTTTTGGGTAACATTATTCCACTAATAAACAGGGGGCAGTAGTACACATATACAGCAATGCACCCACACTTTCTACTAAATGTAGAAAGTGGAATGCAAACTTAATCAAGTTGTGGCTTATTACAGCTGTTTCTGTGGGGGGGAATTAATTTTGTCAGTTTGTTAAAGGTGAGTAAGTTTTTTGTTAATTAACTTTTTAAAAATGATTTATTTATTTTCAATGCAGACCTCCTGGGACACATATCAAGTTTCACTTACAACTGTCACACTGCCGTTATTTATGTTTGATCCCTGTTTACAGTTTTAACTGGCCTCACCAAAGTCCATAAAATGTTTTTCTCATTTTTCTTTTAGATGATAACAATGACCTGAATAGTGATCAGGAAACAGCTGGGTTTGAGTGGAGATACATTTGAACTTATTTGCAGTCACAATTATTTTAAAGATTTGTATGTTTGAAAGAAATTTATTTTCTTATTTCAGCCCATTTGTACTGCTGGTATCATGTCAACACCCTTTTCGCTCTCTTTACTGTTGGGTCCTCTTTGATCACTACAGTCACCCCCTTCTAACACCCTCAACCTCCACCCAACAGCAGACACCAGGATCAGCCACCACCATCACCTCTGTTTCCCTGGAAACTGGCAATTAGCTCCTCGTTAGTGGCCTGACAAGCTGCCATGTGACATCAACTCTTTAGTGATGATGTCAGTAGCCACGATGTGCTGCACCCAAGCCAGGCTGGAGGTGGGGCAGTGTTTTCTTTTTCTATTTATAGGCATTAGCCTGAAACAGTGTGCACAGCCATTTCCTGTTGATGTTGTTGTCACAGCTCAGCAGGACTTACAGTACTGTGCAAAACCCTTCATATCATTATATTTTGCAAGGAACATTAGAAATAGTTTTAGCGGCGAAAAAACTGCAAACACACAGAAATACATGGAAATACCATAATAAGACAGAGTTTGTGCAATTATAACTAGCTTGAAAATAGCCACCCTTGGCTTTGATGTTGGACAAGCTTTTAAGTAGTTCTTCAAACTTCTTGGAGGATATTACAAAAGTCTTTGGGTGATGCTGGCTTTTGTGCTGTTCCCTGTCAAGATGTTCCCCCACTGCTTCAATAAGCCACCAAAACACCAAAGACGTCTAGCTAGTATTTTTCCTGGAAAATTAAAAGTAGAGAAGTGCTCTAAACTTTATATAACTCTGCAAGAGATGCACATATGCACATATGCTATGTGTAAGGTGTTTTTGCCTCAAGTTGTGAAACAAGTTTGTGGTTCCCACCTTTAGCTGGAAGTTTTCTTGCATATTTAGCAAAATACTGCACTTTGTTGCAGTTTGATGAAGCATTTTAGGTACTAAATCATCATTGGAGGTTTACATGCAGTTCTGACTCTGTTGCTATTGCAACAACATTGCGATATGACAGTTTTGCATCAGGTAAAAATTTCTAACAGGCAATATGATATGCAGCAGGCCTAATTCCAATGTGAATCTTAATCTGCTGATACCTTTCTCTGTTCATAATTTCATTAATTTCGACAATATCCCTAACACCACTGATTGAAATGCAGGCCCCAAACCATGACACAGCCTCCACCATGTTTTACACATGACTGTAGATATTCAAATTTGAATTTGTCCCTCCATTAGACCTGCTGCCACTGATTTTCAGTCCAGTTCTTATGTAATTTGACATACCCCAGACCTTTCTCACCATTTCCTTTCCTTCTCCCGGGTCCTGTGTCAGGTTTTCAGATACTGTTTATATGCTCATCTGCTGTAAATAGGATTTTAGGCCTGCTACTTTTCTGTCCTCTACTTGCTCAGTTTCCCTACGGTTTTTAAGGACACACTGCACATCGTGTCGAAATACGCGTTCAACTCTTCGGGGATTCAAAAAAACAAAAACACTATTTTGCCTATCAGACTGTGCTATCTTTTAAACTTTTTAAATATTCAACTAAACAAATTGTAACAGTAGACAGGCTACTAGTAACAAAGTTGCTAAATTTTCTATTGGGGGGGGAATGTGTCTTTTTATGCTTGAATGATCCACAGATCATGGTTCAACATATAAAAGATTCCAATACATTCCCCTGTAAGGTGCAAAGAACCAGACTGAAAATAAGAGAAAGACTAGCCAAAAAAATAAAGGTCAGAAATATTATTGGTCTAAATCACCAAAAAAAGTCTTACTTTTTGACACAAAAATATAAAGAAGTAAGGAGCGATTCAAGATTTTGTCACAGTGCCATAAAATTACTCACGTTAAGAGATGATCAATCACATCTGTGATTTAGGAGCTGTCCGTTTCCATGGTGACACTTTTAAGTGGTAATTGGGGGACACTTAAAGTTGCAGCTTCAGAGGCTGATGAGACAGCTGCTGAGATAAAGACTTTGGTTTTCCTCTGCGTGCAATGACGTGATATTGGCACTGAAGAGAGTAGCCAAAGCTAGAGTGGCACTAAATACTGACCTGAAAGGTGGAGAAACTTTGGAGAATCCAAGATGTTACTACAATAAGCTGACATTTTCTTTTTGTCTCCATAGTCATGTTTCGACTCTACGACACAGATGGAAATGGCTCCTTGGACAGCTCGGTAAATATTTCCCTTTTGGAGTGTTTGTTTTGATTTACAAAATCAGGATCCTACCTCAGTATACTTTAGTTTTTAATGAGAAAAATGTTTTTGTTATTGTTTTTTTATGAGCTTTTATGGCATTGATAATATTATATATGCAAGATTATATAAGCTCAAGTTCCACTTGCCAATTAGTATTCTTGACTGACAAATGGCTGACTGGCTACTGTGATTTACCCACATAAGCAGATGAGTTTATAGAGAAAACCCATATGAGAGAAACAGAAAAAAAATCCAGCAATTATATGGGGAGAAATGCCTTGTTGATGCCAGAGGTCAGTGGAGAATGGCCGGATTAGTTTGTTGTAATAGGAAGGCAACACTAACTTGGCCAAGAACAGGAATCTGAGGCTGAAATTCACACAGGTCTAATTTTGATGAGCCCATCTTCCCATGTGATGTCTGTGCTATGGATGTGTGGTCGGAGGGGTCCTATTTTTTCCTATTTCACTGCAGGTGTAAACTTTGCATGTGACAAATAAAAGTCTCCATCCATCCATCCATCAAACCAAACACTGGGAAAATGTTACCTGAACATGACAATGAGTTCACTGTACTTAAATGGCCTTCACAGTCACCAGATCCTATAGAACACCCTTGGAATGTGGTGGAATGGGAGATTCCTATCATGGATTTGCAGCAACTGTATGATACTATCATGTCAATATGCAGCAAAGTCTCTGAGGAATGTTTCCAGCCCCTTTCTTGGATTTATGACATGAAGAATAAAGTTAATTCTGGAAACAAAAAGTGGTCCAAACTAGTACTAACAAGGCATATTTACTGTCAGAAAGTGGTCAGTGAGCATTTAAGCAATCCAGTGGCTTGTCCGATGACATAGATTTTCAGTTTTTCAGGGTTTCTGAGACTTTTTTTCTGTCAGGTAACAGATATCCAGCTCTCACCACTTAGATAACTTTTTAAATAAAAAATTATAATATTTAACAGCTAAACTATCATCAGATGATAGTTGATGGTTTCAAGGGTGGATTCATAATAATAGACTATATGATTTGCAAGCTGTGTTTTGTAAATGTAAGCTAACGTTTTTTGCTGATTGTCTTTCTAATATCTCTGTATTTTCTTCTTCAGTTCTTCTCCCTCTATCTTTTTTCTAAATTTCACCAGTTAATCTCCATTTTTTTAATCATTTCTGTCCATCAGTTTCTATTTCTCTGTATGTCTGTTTCTCCATCAACAAAATCATTTAAATAAATTAAGTAAATTAATGGATGAAACGGGAAGAGTAATGGAGAGAAACAAGGATGAGTAAAATCTGTGGCTTGGACATAGTTATGAATGAAAGAGCACTGCTCATTATCTGTGCAGAGTGTGTAGGAGGGAGTGGGGGTTTAAATTAAAGGGCTAAAAGGGAGATAGAGAAGGTGGAGTGGGTTTGGTAACGTATTCAATTATTAGTCATCTCTCACCCATTATTGGACGGCAGATAGAAAGCATAATAGAAAACAGAGGACTAATGAGAGGGCAGAGAGAATACAAATGTAGGCAGAGATAGCCATTCAGTGGGACCCAAATCATACTCAGAATTTAAGAGAAAATGAAAAAACAGTATGAACTCTTCATTTACACTCATACACTCTAGATTTTAAAGATATCCTAAGTGCATCATAGTGATTCAGTGTGGTACTAGATAATAACATCACCCGCCTCTGCCCCCCAAAAACCAACCATTGTAATTAAAGCTTCAGCTTCAGAGTGCTTCCCACACTGCCTTTGTTTTTGCTGTGTGCAACTCTTCTCTGCGGAAGAATGACATTTCCAACCTGCTATTACGAGCTGTTCATCAGTCTATTCATGCCAAAGAAATTTAGTGACATTAACTTAAGGCTGCGACATACAGAAAGGTAAACACAGTGTTTTTGTGCCTATAATGACCGTCTGTGGTGTCGCCGCAGGAGTTAGAGCACATTGTCTCCCAGATGATGCATGTCGCAGAGTACCTGGAATGGGATGTGACTGAGCTGAAACCAGTAAGGAGTATATTCATACCCTATGTTGCTTGAGAAATAGAGTATGCATGAAAATATTGCTTACTAGCCTGAGACAATCGTGTACTCAATTCAATATGTTTTTTTTTTTGTTGTTGTTGTTTTTACTGTAGATCCTTCAGGAAATGATGCAGGAGATTGACTACGATCACGATGGTACTGTATCACTGGAAGAGTGGATCCAGGGAGGGATGACCACCATCCCCCTGCTAGTCTTGCTGGGCCTGGAGACAGTGAGTCCACAGAGAGAGTCACATTTGGTGCTAATACTGAGAAGCCCAAAGCTTTCTTAGATGCACAGTGCTATGCTAGTACAGTACTATGCTAAAACTAAAATCCTCCAAGAAATTGGCTGCTTTTTCACTCATTTCTAGCCCAGACTTTGACTTGACCATTCTCAGAAGAACACCTTTTGTTTGATACAGCAAGCTGTACAGTAAGGCACATAACTCGAGGGATGAAGCTAGGCACAGAACCAATTTAAAGTTGACTATTTAAGTTGTAAATGTAAAAACATAGCATAGTTTAATTCCCAAGGAGCTACAGCATTAGCTGGACTTTTCAGTTCACACTTTTTCCACTAGGTGGAAGCATTTGACTACCTTTTAATAAACCCTTACCACATATCCTTTTTTTATGAATGAATATTACTACAAAAGAGTAACAGAAAATCAAGCCTTCTGTCCTTACTGAATTTAGACTGCTTGACCGAGAATAATATACAAAGAAAATCAAAATGCTTTGTCCTGATAAAATCCCCCAAAAGTTGATTATGTTAATCTGAATTCAGTGTTTTCAGTGGGAGAAACGTTTCATCACTCATCCAAGTGACGTCTTCAGTCTCAGCTAACTGCATGTTTCCCAAATTTTATAAGCACTACAAATACATAATGACGGAATCTAGCACCATTTCCTAAGAATGAGCCATGAGGGTAGTTTCATGATCATTAATATGCAAATTGTCATCACCATTGATTTGTGGCCATGAGAACTGTTCACAGAGAGTTGGAGAATGGCTGCAATCAAAGCTGTAAGAGAGTGAACAGCATCCCAGCGGACTGGGAAGCAGAAGAACATCATATCAAAGAAGCCCTGAGTAAATGTGGTTATCCCAGCTGGGCATGGGAAGCTGGGAAGAGGCTTGGAGAACACTCCAGGCAATCCAGGAGAGAAGACGGAAAAATGCTGCCTAAGCAAAAACCATTGGCGATCCGTTATGCATCAGGAGTTTCGGAACAGCCGAGACACATTTTTTCAAAACAGTCTCACTGACTTTTAAAGACCAAAAAACATCATCCAAAATTCATCCACCGCAAAGACCCAGTTTCCTACCTGAAACAGAGCGATATGGTGTACACGATGAAGTTCAAGAGGAAACCAAACACAGCGCAACATGGAGGACCTACCCTGTCAGGCCACTCATTCAGTGACGAAGATGTGCACAGGGAGGAAGGCTGGTTTGAGCATGGAGTCAAGGAGGCCATTTATGTGAAAAGGAAACAACGGTGGCTGAACCGAGGAGGGGGCCTGAGATGGTGAAAGATGGACTCTTATCTCATCTCTTGATTGCAGCTGTTTCACAAATCAGCTGAGACTGAAGAAGTCACTTGGATAAGTGATGTAATGTTTCTCCCACTGAAAACGCTGCATCCAGAAGAACAAAATCAACTACAAAGTGCTTTTGTACAGAATTCAACTTGCGATAAAAGGAACAAATTTAGTCAATCAGATGATTAACTGGTGATTGTCCAGCCTGAATATGAAGCCATGTGATACAGCAGTGGATTAGTGACTCGGTGACTGTTCCATCAGTTAATCGTTGCACCTGTTTCTGTTGCTGCAGAACGTAAAAGATGACGGGCAGCACGTGTGGAGACTGAAGCACTTCAATAAGCCAGCCTACTGTAACCTGTGTCTCAACATGCTAATTGGACTGGGGAAGCAGGGTCTCTGCTGCTCATGTGAGTAATTCAGTCAGTGTTACAGGTTTGACAGATGCACTTATCTGTTTAAAAAGATGAAATGTAACATTGTAAGATCTGTAAGATCTGCGTGGCCTTTCGTGCATGAAAGGTAGTGATAAGGATATTTACATAAAACAACTGACATCAAAAAGTAAATGTCTAATAATTTTGATTTAGTGCCACATGATTGTCTAAAACACAGGACAGGTGGAGATAAAGGAGAAGTAAACAGTTTAACAGAGACTTTTATTTTAAAAGGATAAGACCTGCATGTGTTTCAGCCTCCTACAGTGCACCCTTTACTGAGTTATAAAAAGATGAACAAACACATAACTCAAACCCTAGTGTACATACTTTACAACAAAAGAGAAGTTCTTCTTTGTTCTTTTGCTCATTCAAAACAATGTTTCTGTGTTTTGTTGTTTTTTGCTCCAGTCTGCAAGTACACAGTCCACGAGCGCTGTGTGGCTCGCGCTCCGCTGTCTTGCATCAAAACCTATGTCAAGTCCAAGAAAAACACAGAGGTACGTCCAATTGGAGTGTTTACCAGTCGGCACGCTTGGATCAGCAGTGCTCCGTGGAGCTTAGGATAAGGGCTTCTCTTCCTCTCATGGAATTGCAACAACTCAATCTGCTACTAAGCATTTCTAATTACCAGGATAAACCTAGTTTAGAGACGGGGATGCAGACAGCACTGTTTGCTTTGCTTTCTCCTCCTCACTCTCTGTTTTTCCTTCTTGTTTCCTTCTTGTTCCTTCTTGCTTGTTTTTCTCTTCCTCCTTGCTTTCTTTAATTGTTGTGTCACTTTTGCTTTTGTATATATCTTGTTTTTCTGCACCATGTTTCTTTTCTCACTTTTTTCCCTCTCTGTGTGCGATCTCTCCTTTTCTCTGCAGGTAATGCATCATTTCTGGGTGGAAGGGAACTGCCCCACCAAGTGTGACAAGTGTCACAAAACCATTAAGTGTTACCAGGGTCTGACTGGGCTCCACTGTGTTTGGTGTCAAATCACGGTAAGCCGCCACCCGAGGAGATGCAGCCACCTCCTTATTATATTCCCACTGCTTCTTGTTGTTTAGGGTTTCATTTTTGCACCTCTCCTACCTCACAAGTCATCCCACCAATTTACACTCCCAAAACACTTGTTTGCAGTTGCACGTTAATAGAAAATAAAATGGAGACAATGACACATGTAATGTAAATTAGTCTGGAGCATATACCTGAAATTGTACACTTAAAAATGCGCTCTTATTGACACGAGTTGGTTGTTAATAACGGTTGCCACCTCCTCCAGCTCCATAACAAGTGTGCCTCACATGTGAAACCTGAGTGTGACTGTGGACCCCTGAAGGATCACATCCTGCCCCCCAACTCAATCTGCCCCATCGTCCTGGTAAGACTTCACTTCTGATGGGTCAGCAGTCCCGAGGCTCGGTGAACCTGACCTCGTTTGGAACTGTTACCCGAGGATCCAATCATCAGCCTGTGTTCTCCCACTGAGCTCTGAAATGGCACCAAATTATTTTGTAGAAGTTTATTTCCAAAATTGTATGAGTGCGCTTCACGAGGAAGGACTCTTACTTACTCAATAAAAACTCCATTTAAACTTACGTGGGGAAAGTTTGCCAGAAAAGGTCAAAAGCCAACATAAAAAGTTACAACATGATTTTTTTATTAATAACCTCGTTGTTTTGTATCGTTGTTTGTAACTTTTTATTTGGTTATGGCAGATTTGTAAGTTGCAATATGTAAAATAAGCTTTTCTTTCAGTGAAATTCTTCAACTAGCAACAGATTAAATGTGAACTTATAGGAAAACTACTGGGAAATTACAGATATATAATATTAAGATTGACAGTTTATATTCTGACTTCTTCTTTCTGCTAAAAATAAAAAAAATATTAGAGATTACTAAATCTGCAGCCTACACTAAGCTGTTCACGTCATTGTAGTCATAAAACGATAGCAGGTCTCTAGAGACGACTTTACAGCAACAGATACGAGACACACAGTTCACTCCAATTCTGGCAGTAAACCATGTATATACCTATGCACTATTGTATCCAATAATAATAATAATAATGTACTTTGGTGTAACGGTTCAATATTTTTTCAATACAAAAAAATGTTCATGCCTTTTTAATTTGTCATTTATTAAAATTATAAATATATATTTTAACTCAAAAGTACAGTTTTTAAATTTAATGTTGCTGAAACAACAAAATAAT